TTCCCCAGAGGGTGCTGGCACTGCCCAGGCCCCCAGGGAATGGGCACAGCCCCGAGGCTGCCAGAGCTCCGGGAGCCTTTGGACAGCGCTCTGTGGGCAGGGACAGGGGCTTGGGGTGATGATCCTGGGCGTCCCTTCCAGCTTGGATATTCCATGATTCCAACTATTTACTCCACCCATGCCACAGAGTATCTTTGTGTCCTCAGAGCTGCCTGTGAGCACCGACAAGCAGCTCATTCCCAGCCAATGTGCCAGAGGAGCACACAGAGCAAACAGAAGAGAACAAATCCTGTATTTCCATCTGCATGAAAATCCCATTTCCTTACAAATCCCACATGCTCCAAAGCAAGCTGAAACAGTTTGTAATTTGCAAGGCATTCAGAATCAGCAGCTCACCTTCCTTCCTCATGGCAGCTGAGTCTATCTTGCCCTGCAGCAGGTAGACAGTTCCCGAGGAGGTCCGCACCTGGTTGTGAGTGACGCGCTCCGTGATGGCGCTGCTGTGCCACAGCAGCTGCCTCATGTCCCTGGCGACAGACACAACAGAAATCACCTCCAGAAAGGATTCCAGTCTGGAATGCTGACACTCCATGAGGGAGGGGTGGGGATCCCTGCTTTCTGAGGGATTCAGGTGCTGGCAGGATGTGCTCTGGGCTCAGTTTTCCTCTCTTAGCCTGGAACTGACACAGCCCTGCCTCGCCTGACACTGGGGCAGGGGACAAACTGAACCTGTCACTGCTGCAGGTGTCACTCAGGACAGCAGCTGGACTGAGCCAGCTCATTACAACAGCCCAGCTTGGATGGGGCTTGGAGAAGCACAGTGGGAGGTGTCCCTGCCCTTGGCAGGGGTGGGCTGGACGGACTTTAAGGTCCCTCCCACCCCAAACTGCCCAGAGCTATTTGATATTTATTTCTCTGAAGCTTTCTGATTATCTCAGCACAGCACTCTGAAATGAGTTCACCAGTAGTTCCCTGGATGCTGGCTCTCCCTCTCTTGCCCACACAAAGGAATTGTCTCTTCCTTGATAAAGCAGTCTAAGCACTGCACCATTACCTCATGTTTGGTGTCCATGGTTTACTTTACACTTAAATAATAAACTGGTTCTTACTTCCTTTTCCCTTCCACACAGATTGCCGTGTTTCCAACCAGTACTTTAATCCTCCAGCTGCTCAGGCAGATGTTTTTCTTTTCCAGAAAAAAAAAAAAAAAGAAAAAAAAAAAGAACATAAATAATTTAGAAGTATTTATTAGCCAGCACTCCTCAGTGATCAGATCCAATAACAAAAATAACTCTTTCAACATCTTCTAAGCTACAAATCTGGAATGTTAGAGCATATCTGATCCTTGGCTCAGTCCTGAAGGTGACTTGGTTTAATTCAGGAAACACATCAAACACTCTTGGCCACGGGGAGGGAGAACAGAACAAGTCCCTTGCAACCCCAGATTTCCCCAGGGAACAAGGGAACCCTTGGGCAGGTGTGCTTGTGCCACGTTCCCAGGGAACCCCAAGGACCTTCCCAGGACTTTTTCAGAAAGGGAGGAATGCTGCAGGCTGCACACTGCTCTCCTAGGAAAAGATTCTGCTCCAGTTAAACTGGAGTCTGGATGTTCCATAGGAAAGCCAAGCCCTTCCCCTCTCCATCAGCAGGACACATTCCTGGATGGATTCATGCCCAGCCGGGAAAGGTCTCTCCTCCCTGGATCTGAGCAGGCAGCCAGGAGCTGGCAGGGCCCATGATCACACCATGGCTTGTACACACTAAACCAAAAGTGTTTCTTTTACACAAAAAACCCCAAACCCTGAATATCTGTCATCTTGGAGTATGGAAAAAAAGGAACCCTTTGCATAGGAAAATATACTGGTAAAATCTAAAGGAGTAACAGTTTATTCTCCCCTCAGTGTTCCTTGCTTTTGACAAGAAAAATAATAACTTTGAGCTATCAGCCCAGAGGAATTTCTCATTTTCCCTCAAGGATTACTTTCTCCCACCTCTTTGCGTGCATTGCCAGCAGGTTGATCAGCAGGAGGTTTATCCAAAGGGACCTTGGGGTCTTCTGCCCGCTTCTGCTTCCTTGGAATTTGGACTGGAGAGGAGAGCAAGATGGTACAGAAGGGCTGGGAGGGGTTTTCAGGATTAGTCTCTGGTGCCTTTTCCACTGCTGGAGCAGCTGGTTTTTTGCTGGGCTGCAGCTCTCTCCTGTCTTCATGAAGCTCTGTACGTTTTGCTTCTCCATTTCCCCACGTTCCTTTTACCCGATTCCCGTTTTCCCAAGGGATGAAGTTCACTGGCAAAGGAGAAGCCACTGTACATTGAGACATGTCTTCATCAGCATCTACTTCAACAGATTCCACCACGAAAACATCCACATCGTCCTTATCAGAGTCCACAGCCTCTGCAGGCTCATTCCCTGGCTGCTCAGCACAAGCAGGTTGGACTGAAGGATTCCCTACAGTTGTGGAAGGAGGAACATTCTGCTGGGTTTTGGTTGAAGGTGGTATAGCTGCCCATTTAAAGGGAAAAAAAAAGGAATAACAAAGAAATTAGGGATATTCAAGCATGGGAACAGGCTGCCCAAGGGGTGGGTGAGACCCATGCCTGGAGGGATTTAAAGCCCTGTGGATGTGGCACTTGGGGACAGGGGAGGGTGCTAGGGAACAGTTGGACTGGATGGCCTCAGAGGGCTTTCCCAAGCTCAGCAGTGCCATGGTTCTCTGACTGGAGGGAGTTTGTGCTCTCCAGAGCAGCCCCAGTACCTTGCTGCTGCTGCTGCTGCTGCTGCAGTTGCCACTTCACCCGCAGGAAGAACTTCTGGGGGGTTTCCAGCAAGAGAGGCTCTGCTGGGGGCACTTCCTGGGGCTCCATCCTGGGAGTCTGGGGCAAAACTGGCTCTGGAATATAACCAGACAAACAAACCCCAAACCCCTTTTGATCTGGGGAAGAAAAACATTTTCATGGAGGCAGGGGGGGTGGGTAATATGATTTTTTAATATGCTTTTTATTGAAAAAAAAAACCCCACAGAATCCCAGAAAGGTTTGGATGGGAAGGGACCTTAAATCCCACCCAGTGCCACCCTGCCATGGCAGGGACACCTCCCACTGTCCCAGGGTGTCCCAGTGTCCAGCCTGGCCTTGGGCACTGCCAGGGATCCAGGGGCAGCCACAGCTGCTCTGGGAATTCTGTGCCAGGGCCTGCCCACCCTCATTGTAAAAAAGGGTCACACCCAGCTTGGCGTCAGCTGCAAAGCTGCTGAGGGTGCACTGGATCTCACCATGGATAACAATATTAAAGAGAGCCTAGAAAATGCCCCAGTGGGATTTCAAGCCCCAAGCAAGGTTCCATGAACCTTTCCCTCCCCTGCACAGACTGCAAGGAATAGTTACAGCAGTTTGTCTTGACTTTTTTAGTTACAAGGTGGTTCTGAAGGTGGTGCGTGGGTCAAGCCCACTCATGAGCACAGCAGAGGGAACAACTAGTGCCAGAGTGAGGCAGAGGGAGAGGAAACCAAATCCTCTACAACACAGAGCAGGGACGGGACATCAGCAGTGCTACAGACACATTTCAGCACTAAAAAACCCTCACCATCCAACTGTTTTTAATCCCAGCATCTGGGGTGCAACCAGTGTTGGTGCCAGTGCTTTTTTACACCCACCAAGGTGCTCTGGCTGCTTCTCCCAGATCCCGAAAGAGCCGTGAGTGGGACACAGAGGGAAAATGTTCACACTTGAGACAGCTCTCCTGGAGAAGCTGTGGAACAATCGTTGCTTCACAAGTGTGCCCAGGCTCTGGACTGATGGGTGTTGGTGTCAAGGGGCTTTGTCTCTCCATGGGCCTTCCAAGGAGAAAGGATTAAGGCAATGGGCAGCAGCACTGAGAGGTGACTCCAGTGTCCTCCAAAATAATAAAACCCGTTTGGGAAAAGGAACTATTAAAAACTTCTGTAATTTGGGATTGTGGACTGATGTAGAGAATTAAAATACTTAGGACAATGTGGAAATCAGGAATGTCACTTACTGCAGCACAAGATGCCTGAAAGTTCTATGAACTAAACTCAGGTTCACATCTTTGTGCTTTTTATTCCAGGTATCCTGAAGGCAAACACACCATTCTCACGGAGTCACCGAGGGCTCGTGGAACTCACCTGGTCCCGGCTGGGCGCTGCCCGCCGCCCGGGCCGTGTCGTGCCGGTGCTGCGGGGCCGCGGGGCTCAGGATCACGTCCCTGACGACCCTGCGCTGCTGCTCCGCCCGCGCCTTCATCCGCTGGAAGATCTTGGCCGGCGACTCCTGCCCGGGCGGCTCCGGAGCGCGGCGCTTCGGCGGCCGCTCGGCGACGGGGCCGGGCCGGCTCTCGGCACCAGCCCCGGGCCGGCTCTCGGCACCAGCCCCGGGCCGGCTCTCGGCACCAGCCCCGGGCCGGCTCTCGGCACCAGGCCGGCGTCCCGGCCCCGCGATCTGCGGGCCCGACGCGAGGCTGTCCGCAGCCGCGACGCTGCCCTGGCCCGGCAGGAGCTCCTTCAGCGGGGTGAGCGTCCCCACGGGAATGCTGCTGAGGGACACCGAGCGGAGCGGCGGCTCTCTCAAGGCCGAGCGGCGGCTGGGCGTCGTGATGATGTCGCAGACTCGCCCACAGCGCTGCCGGGCGAGTCCCGGTCCCCTCATGGCTGCGGCTCGGCTCAGCTCGGCTCGGCCGCTCCGGCGGCGCTCCCGGGCCGGCCCCACTCCCCTCACGGCGCCCCGCGCGCAGATTCGAGCGCAGCCGCTGCGCCCACCGATTGGCGGAAGAGAGCGCAACTACGGGCCGAGACCATCTCCCGCGGGTGCGGGGGTTGTTAAGAAATAGAGCTGTTGCCGGACGGCGTTGAGGCAGGCGGCAGCAGGTCCGGGCTGTGCCTGAGCTCCCCTCTCCTTGGCACGGTGGTTCGGTCCGGCCGTGGGCGGGCTCCGCGACCGTTGGCGCTGACGCGAAAGGGCGGGACGGGGCTGAGGCGGGCCGGGGCTGAGGCGAGCCCGGGGCTCCACAGCCGCGCCCGTAACTCACAAAGAGCCCCGGCAGCCTCGTGGTGTGCTTCCGGGGCTCGCTGGAGCCTTTTCGGCTCTTTTGCGGAAGCCGGCCGAGCCGCTGGAGGCACGGAGCGGGGCCGGGCTCCGCGCACAGCCCGGCTGCCCCAGCCCCGAGCGCGGCCGGCGGGCCCAAGGTCAATAACGAGAGGTGCGAGGGCACAGCCGAGTGAGTGTGCGGGGCTATCAAAAACCCATCAGTGCACGCTGTTAATTGATAAATAGTACATTTAATTAGCGCTCTGGCTCTGCTCTGTCCCGGCTGGAAGATTCTGTAGTAGGGGTTCATAGTTCAAGTGGCAAACGCTTGAGTGATGCATAAAAAATAGAGGAAAAATCGGAACGCCAGGTGTACCCAGCAGCCTGGCTCTCCCTGCCAACAGTGGGATCAGGTGTGTCTGATTCCTAAATCAGTCCCAGCAGGTGGGTTAGAAACTCAGCTCTGGGCAGCCCGGCACAGCCGAGTGTGTGTGCGGGGCTATCAAAAACCCATCAGTGCACGCTGTTAATTGATAAATAGTGGATTTAATTAGCGCTCTGGCTCTGCTCTGTCCCGGCTGGAAGATTCTGTAGTAGGGGTTCATAGTTCAAGTGGCAAACGCTTGAGTGATGCATAAAAAATAGAGGAAAAATCGGAACGCCAGGTGTACCCAGCAGCCTGGCTCTCCCGGCCAACAGTGGGATCAGGTGTGTCTGATTCCTAAATCAGTCCCAGCAGGTGGGTTAGAAACTCAGCTCTGGGCAAGAAATGACTTCAGCGTGTGCCTGTTAATAATAAACAGCTGTGTTCAAAACCAAGGTGCTCTTTTGGGGTACTGCTTGTTACTTTGCAGCTCGTTACAATAATGAAAGTCTTTGTGCTCATTGCAGGAGATGCATGTGCTAATTAGCAGGCCGGTTAATAAATCAGGGAGGTGTGCTTGCTGCTCCCCGGAGAGCCCAGGAGAAGCAGCCCCCAGGGATGCAGTGTCGGGCTCAGAGGCAGGTGAGTGTCAGGGTGGGGGGCCACGAAAATACGAGGAATCTCTGGATTTCCTCTCCTGGCGTCTGCCACTGGCCTTGGCTCCCGTGCTGGTCCTGCTGGAGCCTCCCAGGGGAGAATGGGGCTGGCAGATCTGTGGGTGGAGCAGGGAAGGAGAGCAGGGAAAAGTTACAGCAGGGATAACAAGGTGTGTTTAGGTGTTACATCAGTTAAATGTCTGATTGTGGTTTCTGATGCACTGACTGCATACAGGTGGCATGGCTTCATTTGTCCTTAAAAAGCCCAAAAAAACCCATTCAATCCATATTTTACTCCTTATATTTTATGATATCTTAGTGCTCCCATACTTATTACCTACTCAGCTTTTGCCTAAATGATCAAAAGCAAAGAAAATTCATTTTGCTCCAGTTATTTGCAGAGGCCACCATTGTGCTTCCTTCCAGGAACAAAAAAGAATCCACAGGAAGTCAAGCGAGGAGAAATTCCTTCTTTCCAGGAACAAATGTGTGTGTGAGGTTTGTGGCTGTAATCTGGGGAGCTGTGGAATTCCTACCAGTTTTGTTAGAATTCCTAAGCTTGGTTAGCATGGCTGAGCAGGTCCCCTCTTCTTTGTTACCAGATGCCAGTGGAGCTTCCCAAATGGAATCCCAGATTGGTTGGGGTTGGAAGGGACCTTAAATCCCATCCCATTCCCACCAAGCCCCAATGTCCAGCCTGGCCTTGGGCACTCCAGGGATCCAGGGGCAGCCACAGCTGCTCTGGGAATTCCATCCCAGCTCCTCCCCACTCTCCCAGCCAGGAATTCCTAATTCCCAACACCCCATCTAAATTTCCCCTCTGGCAGGAATACTCTTTTTTCATAAATGGCATTTCTTGAATAATTTTTAAGCTTGTTTGCTGTTTGTTCCACAAAGGAAGAGAATCAGGTCCATAATTCAGTGAAGAAAGACTAATCCAGACTAAGCAGGAAAAGCTGTCGAGGGTAAAAGAGTTAATTTGTTTTTTGTAGAGTGTGGGTGGTTCTGGGGCATGTGCACCTGGAGACAATAAATGCAAATTTAGCTCAAGGCCTCTGAGTGACGTCTCAGCCTCATCAGCTGCTTGTGCTGTGGGTTTAAAGGGAGAAAAGTGGATTTGACTGGGATTTATCCATGTGGATCTCAGCAGTTACCAGAAAGGACCTAAAACTGGGAGTCCTGCTGCTTCTCTTTGGGAAGGTGCCTGATGCCAATTAAAATCTTCATGGAAAAAAAAGATTTAATCATGGGGCAAGGATGATGATTGTGTTGTAAAGAGTTTTCCAAGCTCTCCTTCCAGACTTCTGCCTCTTTAGTCCCCAGTGGAGCTGCAAGCCCTGCAGCTGAAGTTTCCTGCCTTGGGTGGATCAGCTGCAGAAATTCAAGCCCAAAATCTGTGGTGTGGATTGTACAGCCCAGCCACCCCAGTGAGATCTGTAGTGTGGGGTTACACTGGGGAAAAACCCCAAAACCCTCCTTGCATGCTGTTTGGCTGAGGAGTGTGTGGTTTTTCATGGAAATATTTAAGGGTTATTATTATTTATTTAAGGTTTTTCCTTTTTTTTGGGAGGTTCCTTTGACAAGTCTTGTCAATTAAACAATCAATCCTGTAAATTATATATATATTAAGTATAGAGGTGTAAGAATAAATGTTTGTTCAGTGTTTTGGGATCTTAAGTCAATTAATTGCATGTCTGGAAGTAAAACCCAAATGTTTCTTTTCTTTGGAGCAGCTGGAAGAAAATACTTATATTTCATATATTTATACATATATAGGTTTGGTTTATTAGTGACTTTAAAATGCAGAAATACAGAATAATCTTCATTAAACCTAAGGAAACCTTTTCCTGCTGCAAGTTCCTGCTGGATTTCATTGTACCTCAGACTGACAGAACACCCCACACTGTGCTTAGGGTGTTTTATTCTTATTTCTTCTTTTCTCCTCTTTTTCTCCTCTTCTTTTTAACTCCTCTGGGTTAGGATTATTTATGTTCTCAGCCAGTAGCTCAGGGGGTGGAAGGAGGGAGTGGGAAAGGAGGTTGTGCTTTAGGGACAGCAGAAAAATAACGAACAAAAAATTGAATTATTGCGAGTAGCAGTGCCCGGGCTGGCGTTCCCCTTGAGAGGGAACATTTCTGCATCCCGGGAGAAGCTGGGGCTGATCCGGAGGGAAGGAGGAGCGCCGAGGTGCGACGGCAGAGGAGCGCTGTCCCCACGAGGTGGCAGGAGCTGCCTTCCCGCAGCCACCCGTCCATCCATCCACCCGTCCATCCGTCCATCCATCCGTCCATCGCTGCCAGGGATGCCATCGCTCCGCCGGGCTGCTCGGGAGCGGAGCTGCAGCGCTGCGGGCGCAGCCGATCCCAGCGTTCCCGGCATGTGCCCCGGGAAAGCTGCGGCTGCCGCTCTCCTGCTCGGGATCCCCGCACACCACGGGAGCGTTTCCGCTCGGTTTTGCTGCCACGTGGGGCACAGAAATGACTTTGCCAGCGACAGGACCCAGGGAGGAGCTGGAGCTGTGCCAGGGCAGGTCAGGCTGGAGATGAGGAAAGGCTCTTCCCCAGAGGGTGCTGGCACTGCCCAGGCTCCCCAGGGAATGGGCACGAGGCTGCCAGAGCTCCAGGAGCCTTTGGCCAGGGATGCCAGGGATGCCCAGGGTGGGATTGCTGGGGGTTTGGGATGATCCCTCTGGGTCCCTTCCAGCTCAGGACATTCTGGGTTTCTGTGAGTGATTTCTGATTTGAAAAGGAAGCAGCCCCAACTCTCTGTTCTGGAGGCTGTCACCTCTGTAAGAAAACTGTGCCTTCCTTCCCTCCTACCCAGAATGGTTTTGTTTTCCGCGTTTCCAGCTGCTGCCCTCCCCAGCTGGAGTGAGGAGCAGCCTTCCTCAGGAACAGGTACCCCCACGGGCTCCTGAGGGCCCTCAGTCCTGTCCCACACTTGTCACAACCTGAGCTCATTTTTAACCCACCTCTCATTTTCCCACTGCTGCTGGATCCATTCCTTAATATTCCCTGTAGTGCTTGGCTGCTGCTTTCTTCTTTCAGTGTACGAGTGTTCCTGGCCAGTTCCTAACCCCTGGTTCTCGTGCTGGTTCCACTGATGCTCTCCTTTCCCAGAGATTCTTTCCCTGGAGAGCAGCCCCAGCCTGTCCCAGCTGGAAGCAGTGAGCCAGGCACTGCTGCAGCTTCTGGACAGCTTCTCTCTGAGTTTGGGGTTTGGAGCTTTGCCTGCACAGGAGCAGGAGGAATTCCCTGTCCTCCTGGTGAGCATCTTCCCCTGCATCTCCTCAGAATGAGAATCCCCAGTTTGGTTATTAATTACAGTTCTGGCTATGTTGGAGGGAGCTGCAGCTGATTCTAGGTTCTCTGCTCTTTCTATTTCTAGGTTTGCTTTCTCAGCTTTCTGAAAGTCTTCTTACTTTACCATTTCCCACATGGCTCGAGATGTTTCTGAGGGGCATTTATGGGAATACTGGGGAGCAGCACTGGGAGCACTGCTCAGCTGGTGACTGGAGGGGATGTGCCAAGCCTAGCAGGCCAGGAGGCTCTGCAGGCAGGATCCTGGGGAAGACATCAGTGTGCTTGGGTGTGTTTGCTATGCAGAAAATGCAAGACCTGTGCAGGTTTGAGCAAAGCTGTGATGGAGCAATGTTACTAAGGAACGTCAGTGTTGTGGGCACTGCTATTTTTAGCTGTAGCTGAAAGGGGATGAATACTGAGCTTTGGAATCTCTGAACGGCTTCGTGTGTGCCAGCCATGGAGACCCCATCTCTTCTATCAATTGCTGTCAGCATTCAGGTATGGTTTTTCTATAATCCAATCACCATCCTGGTAATTAATCTGCCACCCAAGCTCCCTCCCTGGCAGCCTGCCTCGTGTTGCCTGGCTGGTCAGTGCCATCAGACATTCTGGAGCTTTTGGGGGCTGCTCACAAGTTCTGTGAAAATTGTCTGTGATAAGCTCAGGTTGTGGTCGGTTAATAATCTTATTTAAGCAGTGATTGAATAGAAAATATTTAATTGCTATCATCAAAAATGAATATTCCCCTTACAAGCACAAAAGAGAAGTATTTGTTTTATGCATTCTCTAAGAGTTACTGTATTGATTCCCGATAACAGATCCAAGCTATTACAATAATTTCACCTGTTAATTCTTTTAAAACATCCTTTTTGTCCTTTCCCTTATTGGTAAAGTTTTATTTTTACTCATCTCTATAACTTTCCTTATCTTTTAAGTGTTTTTGCTAAGTGATCCCTCTGAGTAATCTCCGTTGGTTGCAAGGCTGATTTTTATTTAAAGACAGATTTGTTGTGCCTGTTATTAATACACAGCACATTGTGATGATGGAGTGTCCTGGTTTGGGCTGGGGTAGAGTTCAGTTCCTTCCCAGGAGCTGGGAGTGATTTGAATTCAGAATCAGGATAATGAGCTGGGCTTAAACCACCAGGGGCTGACATTATTTCTCTGCAAGGTGAGATGTTCTCCCAGTGCCATAACCTGCCCCAAGATTTGGCAAGAAGTTATGCAGAAGTAATAAAGGAAATAAAAATTCTTGTGGCTCATAATTAGGGCTGTTTAAAAGAGGATTTTTCTCTGGTGGTCGTTTCCCAGCAGTGAAATTGCAGTGCTTCCATTCATGGAAGAGAAATCACCTCAGAAATAACAAATAGATCAAATTTGTGCATCTGAGCAAGCCCTGAGCTAAAATGGTGTAAAACAGGACAGTGCTTAAGGCAGAGCCCTCTGCTTTTCCTGTTTTGTTTTTCTTCACCAAGGCCTAAGCCACTGCTGGAAAGATTCCCTGTGTAATTCCCTGCTAACTGGAAATGGGAAAAAAAAATGTTCCCCTCAGCTCTTTAAACCAAGAGCTGTTGGTAATTTCATTCTCTCCTGGAGTGTTACTCCAGTGGTGATGAGATTTAGCCTAATCTGCATTAATGCTGCCTTTTAGCATCGGTTTAGGAAGGAGCCCAAAACCCCACCT